CAGCACCTGGAGGGAGACCCATGTGTCAGGACACAGGGAGAGCCGTGACACACTAGTGGTGTCAACTCGGAGGACCTGTGTGGCTTGTACGGAGCCTGTGTGCTGGTGGCACTCTCCACTCCACGGACGCTGATTTCTAAGCTAAAATTTAATGTGTCAGAAATCATGTTATAATTTATTCGACGAGTACCTTTTATTCTTGTGGTTAACAAGACGACGCCTGCTCACCTCTCTCTCGCATCACGTGATTGGCACCACCAGACGACTCGTGGCACTCTGGCACTTGCCGAAATATCAGAGGTAGTTGTGCCAGCCAATCAGAGCGAAAATTTACTGATCTCTCGAGGTCTCTGATTGGGAGAAGCAAGCCTCTGAGCGCTCAAGGTGTGCTCGGCAGTGGCAGGGATGGACCAACCGCTCCCTGGTCATGGTTCGCAGTATTATGTTGACAGTTTGTCTGCCTCTCACGTTCCGACATTGAAGACATCATGACCAGGATTCGTCTAGCATTTGTGCAACCAGATACGAAACCTGTACATCTTTTTTCCATCATGGTGACTTTGTTTACATTTATTAAACTGTTTATAAGCTCTGAAGCACCACGAGGTTGTTTATAAACAATAATAACCTTGGGTTGTGAAGTTTCCATGCTCGTAAACTATTTAATAAATGAAAAAAAAGCCGCCAACTATCAAGTAAAGATCTACAGGCTTCGTAAGGTGTTGCGCAAATGCTTAATGAATCCTGGTCCAAGATAGAGACAGTGGCGAGGGGAGAGGAGAGTGTACAGAGTTCTCCTGAGCCCATCCCGGCAATCACACAGGGGGTGAGAACAGCTCCAGCAGTCACACATGGGGTGAGAACAGCTCCAGCAGTCACACAGGGGGTGAGGACAGCTCCAGCAGTCACACAGGGGGTGAGGACAGCTCCAGCAGTCACACAGGTGGTGAGGGGCAGCTCCAGCAGTCACACAGGGGGTGAGGACAGCTCCAGCAGTCACACAGGGGGCGAGGACAGCTCCGGCAGTCACACATGAGGTGAGGGGCAGCTCCAGCAGTCACACAGGGGGGTGAGGACAGCTCCAGCAGTCACACAGGGGGTGAGGACAGCTCCGGCAGTCACACATGGGGTGAGGGACAGCTCCAGCAGTCACACAGGGGGTGAGGGGCAGCTCCAGCAGTCACACAGGGGGTGAGGGGCAGCTCCAGCAGTCACACAGGGGGTGAGGGGCAGCTCCAGCAGTCACACAGGGGGTGAGGACAGCTCCGGCAGTCACACATGGGGTGAGGGGCAGCTCCAGCAGTCACACAGGGGGGTGAGGACAGCTCCAGCAGTCACACAGGGGGTGAGGACAGCTCCAGCAGTCACACAGGGGGTGAGGACAGCTCCAGCAGTCACACAGGGGGTGAGGGGCAGCTCCAGCAGTCACACAGGGGGTGAGGGGCAGCTCCAGCAGTCACACAGGGGGTGAGGGGCAGCTCCAGCAGTCACACAGGGGGTGAGGGGCAGCTCCAGCAGTCACACAGGGGGTGAGAACAGCTCCAGCAGTCACACAGGGGGTGAGGACAGCTCCAGCAGTCACACAGGGGGTGAGGGGCAGCTCCAGCAGTCACACAGGGGGTGAGGACAGCTCCAGCAGTCACACAGGGGGTGAGGGGCAGCTCCAGCAGTCACACAGGGGGTGAGGACAGCTCCAGCAGTCACACAGGGGGTGAGAACAGCTCCAGCAGTCACACAGGGGGTGAGAACAGCTCCAGCAGTCACACAGGGGGTGAGAACAGCTCCAGCAGTCACACAGGGGGTGAGGACAGCTCCAGCAGTCACACAGGGGGTGAGGGGCAGCTCCAGCAGTCACACAGGGGGTGAGGGGCAGCTCCAGCAGTCACACAGGGGATGAGGACAGCTCCAGCAGTCACACAGGGGGTGAGGACAGCTCCAGCAGTCACACAGGGGGTGAGGGGCAGCTCCAGCAGTCACACAGGGGGTGAGAACAGCTCCAGCAGTCACACAGGGGGTGAGGACAGCTCCAGCAGTCACACAGGGGGTGAGGACAGCGGAGACAACTAGTCAAGAGGACCTCTGCTACTCCCAGCAACACGTCAGTGATCAAAGCATTGACGTGTTGAGTGACACAGTCACGTCTCAGGACGTGAGTGTGCTACTCAACACGGGGCTGTAAAGTTACTCATCTCCAGAACATTGAGGATACAAGACAATTAACTCAGGGGAGAGAAGAGGCACACACAGAGAATTAGGTGTTAGAATTAGTACAAAGACGTCTTTACGTTGTGTTTCGTTGTGTTCTTGCCTACCACACCCGCCTGGGACACTATTGTAAAGGTTGATTTTTGATCTGGTTAATAATGCCTCTCAGTAATCTTGAAGTTATCTTGAGATGATTTCGGGGCTTTAGTGTCCCCGCGGCCCGGTCCTCGACCAGGCCTCCACCCCCAGGAAGCAGCCCGTGACAGCTGACTAACACCCAGGTACCTATTTTACTGCTAGGTAACAGGGGCATAGGGTGAAAGAAACTCTACCCACTGTTTCTCTCCGGCGCCCGGGATCGAACCCGGGACCACAGGATCACAAGTCCTGCGTGCTGTCCGCTCGGCCGACCGGCTCCCTTAATTGTTAATGTAATTGTTACATTCCTGCCAAGCTTTGAGTTATCGGCGTATAGTGAGTGTGTGTGACACTCTCCACTCTCCAGGTCATTTATATAACTGGAGACGGGACGAGGACCTAAGACTGCACCTTGTGGCATCCCGCCACCTGTTGCACCTATTTTCGTCTCGGTACCTCTAAATTTTTATTTAAATATCTTCTTGCGACTATACCGTAAAGCTCTCTAAGACATGTATTACTTTACTGTCGCTGTACATATTAATAATATCACACACGAAGCTCAGAACGCACATTAGAGAAAGACGGACGAGTTCGTCAGTTCTCAAATAATTGTTTCATGAAATAGCAATTGATACGTATTATCGAGCAGAAATTAATGTAATTTCTATGGTTTGTGTCCATAATACTTGTTATAATATTGCGAGTGTCAAGTAATTACCTGCCGATGCCAGAACCCTCGTTAGGTGTGTCTAGATCACCTTGTAACGATAAGATTTGAAGGTGTAGTTCAGCCTTGAGAGTGGCGGTGCAGGGTGACAATAATTGTTTGGCATTGCTGTGATGCATTACAATCGAGTTCAAGGAACACCTCATACTTATGGTACTGAGTGACTGCTCGAGGCACGTGTTGCACTGTGAGTTACAGAGACGCTGCGTGTTGCTGGGGTCACTGAGGGGGGCGGGGGAGGGGGAGATACAGCTGCATTGAGGCATACATTAAGGGACAAACACAGCAGAGAGTGAAGACTCGGGGGACTCTAGACCGGTTCTTTTCCTCCAGTTGACTTAGACATTGAGTGTGTAACCTTCAGGTCAGGGTGAAGTTAAAGAGCTCATATTCTCCCAGTTACTCACATTTCTGTGCCACATGTTATACATTATAATGCTTTGGGAGAGAGAAAAACCGTTGGCTGAGAGAGTAATTATGGTCGCTTATTTCACCTCACAAATGAGGCTCGTTGCCAAGTTGCTTAAAAATGTAACATTTGTGTTGTAAATATTTTAGGCATCAATTTTGTTTTCTCTCTTCAACTTGTCACCATCATTATTCTTGTAGATATTACTTTTGACACATTATAACTTGTAAACAGGAGCTTTCCTGCACCAGCATCCTCCCCCAGCTGGGTGACTCAGGCTTGTCCCCAGGTGTTGAAGGGAAGGGGGGGGGGGGGATGTGCTCCCCACTCCCACTCACCGACTCCTTCCCCCTCCCCCTCCAACTCCCACACAGGAGCTCCTCCCCCTCCCCCCCCTCCCACACACGGGCTTCAAGTCCATACGCCACCTACAGGACTCTCACTCTCTGAGGGCCTCGTAAAGACTAACATTCTGGTATCAATAACTAATCTTAATGCAGTAAAAATCAACAAATAATCAATGAATACATTTATCATAATTTATCGTTGTATTTAATATGATGTGGAGGTTCCACAGTTTTTTTTATATGTAGGAAATACAATCTTAATTAAGTCTAATTATACAATGTGATACACTAGAAGATTGTTAATTAGCTTTCCATGTAAGGTGAACTAGCAGGGGGGGGGGGCGTCAGGATTGTACCATTGTTATAATGTTTTGGAGCACACAGTTGATTGCATCTATTTGAATTGAAGGGTTGTTTGAGAGGCCGACTGTATGCAATATCTTAGTGTTGACAGATTGTGTTGTTGGAGTCAGAGGTTTGTCTCAAGTGTTTCTCCTTAAAGATTTGAGGCCAAGATTGAAATGCGAGCACGTATAAACTACTCATAGAGTATGTCCCTGACCCCACTCACAGAGTATCTCCCCTGACCCCACTCACAGAGTATCTCCCTGACCCCACTCACAGAGTATCTCCCTGACCCCACTCACAGAGTATCTCTCCCTGACCCCACTCACAGAGTATCTCCTTGACCCCACTCACAGAGTATCTCCCCTGACCCCACTCACAGAGTATCTCCCCCTGACCCCACTCACAGAGTATCTCTCCTTGACCCCACTCACAGAGTGCATAAACCCTCACAGACACCAATACACTACCGTCAGACCACCACTGTGCAGGCGATAAGTCACAATAACGTGGCTGAAGTAGTTTGACCAGACCACACACACTAGAAGGTGAAGGGACGACGACGTTTCGGTCCGTCCTGGACCGAAACGTCGTCATAACTGCACCTTACAACAGTAAAGGCCACCTTGGTAACAGCATCCACTGCTGCTGGTCGATAATTTCCCCATTTACCTACCTGCCTCTCTACCTGTCACTGCTCCGTCACTCTTACTCTCTCCCTCCCTTCCAGTAACTGTCTCTTTCCCTGTCCATCCCTCCATTCGAGTCCCTGTCTTCCCCCTTTTCCCGTCCTGTCTCTGTCTCTCCCACCCGTCGTGGTCCTCACCTGAGTATCATAAGGGGACACATGCAGAGGGCGAAGGCGGTGACGATGGAGGCAATGTAGCGCTGGTTCCTCTTCTCCCTCTCTACCTCCGCCTCCGCCTCCTCCAGGTGGTGCAGGGAAGGGGTGCGGCCTCCCAGCAGTGTAGGTGTGTGCGAGCCCCCACTACTGCCCCCACCGCCCGCCCCCAGGGGCGTGGGCGTGAGGAAGGAGGGCAGGTGGTGGGCGTCGTGGTACAGGAAGCCGTCCCGACCCTCCGCCTCCGTCAGGATAGCGCTGTAATTCGTCAGGAGATGGTGTTATCGGGGGAAAGCGCCAAGCCATTACGACTATATAGCACTTGGAAGGGGTCAGGATAAGGATTTGGGATGGGATGGGGGAAAGGAATGGTGCCCCAACCACTTGTGGACGGTCGGGGATTGAACGCCGATCTGCATGAAGTGAGACCGTCGCTCTACCGTCCACCTCAAGTGATTGGGCACCATCCGACTCACTCACCTAATAGGGTGAGTGGGTTGGTACAGTGTGACGATATCCTTTGCCTTGAAATTTGTTATGAACACATTTAGGTACATATACATTTGTGCAGCTGCCCTAGACTATATGAAAGGGAGAACAGTGTCAAAAAACTAGCTACGTGATGCTAGAAAAATCCCCATCAGACAGGATGGTTAGTCATACAGAGGCATGTGATCAGTAGTCTGCACTGGCAGACTCCGGAAGCATTTTGAGGATATCATCATGAACACGAGAGTCAATACAGTAATTGCAAAGCCCCCCAGGTGCCTCATGTTAGGAGTCTAATAACTGGGTATTCAGTAAGATAGTGCGGGAGATCATGCCGCAGTTCCTGCTCACAGAGTTTGCAGCTGGAGTGCTCAGGACTGGGAGATCCGTCACCTGTGTAGCCAAAGGTAACGGTTCTCTCGGGCCATCCAGAAGAAGTCTTGGGATAATCTTTGTATGTTTTCAGTACCACACTTGGCTGCTCCTGTACACGCCCTGGGGCCTGGTGGTCATAGTGGGTTGACTGTATGTCTATCATGTTCAATATGTCTAACCTGTTTATTATATCTAACCTAGTCATTATGTCTATCCTATTTATTATGTTTAACTTAGTCATTATGTCTATCCTGTTCATTATTTCTTACCTAGTCATTATGTCTATCCAGTTAATTATGTCTATCATGTTCACTATGTTTAACCTGTTCATTATGTCAAACCTAATCATTATGTCTAATCTTTCATTATGTCTAATCCGGTTATTATGTCTGACCAGTTATGTCTTTCCTCATCATGTCTTTCCTACTCATTATATCTTACCGTCTTATAATGCGTAAGCTATAGTCAACACAGTCACGTTTGAAACTGTATATTGACTTACCATCAGCTGCTAGTACTCATAACACACTGGAAACAATTTGGCAGCGTTTCCGTGTCTCCTCATGCCTCTGTTCACCCAGCAGTATTTAGGGGAGGACCTGGGAGTAAAAACCAACTGACGGGTCGTGTTTTCACAGCGCTGGGACAACGGTGACTAGCGCGGCTGCTCGGTAAGGCAGTCGGCGACGGGTCTGGAAGGAGAAACTTACGAACTTTTACGAAGCAATTTGAAAACGACATTGCAGGTGAAGCCAAACTCACACCCTAAGCTCCGTCACTGACAGATGAAAAGCAACACAACACCAAATGCACAGGTGATGCAACAGAGAGGGACTTTGTGAGGGAGGGAGGGAGGGAGGACACTAACAGAGAATGACAGAAAAGTAGGAAGGAAATAAATAGAAGCCGCCAGGAGGTCTTCACAGTAGAGCAAGAGGGAGGTCTTCACAGTAGAGCAAGAGGGAGTGCCTGACCGTAGACGGATGCTGTCAAACCAAGCATACTCGCACTTTGAGATTTCTAACGATGAAGTCAAGAGGTACATGCTGGAACGGGACCCGGCTAAGGCTATGGGATCTAATACGGATAACACAAACATGTAGCTAAAAGAACAGTGGCAGCCGCTTACAACGACATGCACCGTCACTGGAAACAGAAGAACTACTAGAAAGTTGGAAGACAACCAAGGTAGTGTCAATATACAAAATGTGAGAAATGAGACGTTAAGCTACAGGAATGTGCCATTTAAGGTGGTGGAAAACACTGTAAGGAAGGAGATAAGAGCATTAAGAGAGAGAGGATCCTGTATAATCAGCATAAGAAACTTTTTGTTGACCAGACCACACACTAGAAGGTGAAGGGACGACGACGTTTCGGTCCGTCCTGGACCATTCTCAAGTCGATTGTCCAGGACGGACCGAAACGTCGTCGTCCCTTCACCATCTAGTGTGTGGTATGGTGAACATAATTTAGCCACGTTCTTGTGACTCATCGCCTGCATAAGAAACTTTTTGCCTCACACATTTGACTGAATTATATTACGAAGCGACAGAGATCAGACCAGACAGAGAGGGAAAGACAGACTGCACACTTGCGTACTGTCAGAGAGACAGCAACACACAACCCCACGCGTGACTACAGCACAAGATGGAGCCAGACAACCTTTCCTTTACCCAGGCACTTTAACTACCATTCCCAGACCTCCCGGTGACGCAGGTGACAATCGCCTGAGGGTAACGAGCGTTACACAGGCGAGGGATCGTACCCGAGGAACGTCAACTGGGGCAGTGCACGCCTGAATGGTACGATGGGCTAGAGTCTAGACTCTGCTCTAGAGTCTACAGTCTAGAGTCTAGGCTATAAAATCCACCACGAAAAAAAGAGTTATTTCTACGAAGGCTATCTCTAGAGCCACTATAGTATCTCATATCCTAGAGCCACCACAGGAGGTCTTGTCCTAGAGCCACCACAGGAGGTCTTGTCCTAGAGCCACCACAGGATCCCTCTGTAGATGCCCATCAGAGACAACATGCTTCACGCGGAGTGTCAGACGAAGGAACCCCAACAAGAATAACGCGGTGTCCATATATCAAGGGATTCAAATGCGAACCATATCCCTGGTGGCTGCCTCGATACGTACATCGGTAAAGGAATCTTTCTAAAGACACCCCCCCTCGGAGGGTGATAAACGGGCCCTATATCCACAAATTGAGTAATGAAAATTTATCCAATAAGTCCACGAAACGGTCGGACGAGCAAGTATGCAGTTAGACCAATCGCTGCCAAGGCTCTTTCCAGCCTCCGCTCTTCTCACAATACAGTAGATACAGACTCACAAACACAGCAGTTAGAAACTCTCAAACACAGCAGATAGAAACTCTCAAACAGAGCAGATAGAACATGGGCTGGTGGACCCTGAGGAATAATTATTAGAAGAGTACACATTCCAGATTATGAAAAAACAACACTTTTGAGGAGCGAGGTATCGAAAGGCCTCTACCCCCCAGCAGCTGACTATGCCCTGGGGCGTCCCACTGTGGCCCCCCCAGGTCCATGTTTTGCACGGTACAGTGTGTAGACCCCAGCAGCCGGTCCTATCTCAAGGGTCCGGTGCAAGCCGTCGCAGAGGAGGAGTCTAAGAGAAGAGTATACTGATGAACAAAGCCAGACTCATATACAGAACCCCGGCGAGGAAGGTCGCGTCCTCAACTGCGCACTAAATGTCCTCCACCTCTACTCTGGAGTTGAGGCTTCCCCACAAGCGCAAGAGGCTCTCGCGGTCCAGAGTAATATCACTCGCAAACAGTCGTGTCACGAGCCTTAATGGTGCCCGTGAGTGTGACTTTATCTCAAGACGACACGAGAGTGCGGAATTCCATTTTTTTGGGTCTAGACACTCTGGTGGATGACCTGCTGGTGGATGGCTAATCCAACAGCCTGCCGTCGCTGGGGGAAGGAGAGGGGGAACAGCCCCCCGGAGAGGGGTCGCACCACCACCCATCAACCATCATGGCTGCCCACCTTATCTTGGCTTATGTTCCCACCAAATCACTTCCACTAGCTCTCACGTGCCCAATGTTGAACACGAGAACAGAACCTCAACAAAGCGCAGGCTGGCAGTAATGTTAGGTTACTGGAGATACGCCCAGCCGAGCGAGTCAGTGATAAACAAACACTACTACTTGTCCCCACCCATCACAGTCTGAATCAACAGCCAGGAGATACACGCGTATAGAGCCTCAGTCCTCTACACCCAGCAGGCGGGGTGTAGCAATTTAGACACACAATAGAGCCGGCTGACTGGAGCGACTCCTCCATCTATCCCACACACGCGAGGGAGTGACCTGAAAAGGTCGTGACCTGAAGGCCAGGAAGGTCGACTCAGTGTTCGATTAAGTGTTACTGAACGTTACTGTACAGTTTGGCCTGAAAGCCAAGGTGTTCGGTTCATTGGGACCTGAAAGCCAAGGTTTTCGAACCCCATGAAAGCCATGGTGCTCGATTAAGAATGGCCTGGAAGCCATAGTGCTCCAGTGGACATGGGAGTACCTAAGCAACTGAAGACAGAGATTCACAGTGAGAGGACATACTTCAGAGTGCCGAGATGTTACGACTGTGGTCACATAGGGATTACTATTAGGCCTATCTTGTGCCTAATATATGTGAATGATATATGCATAAAAATCACTACAAAAATCAAACTTAAAGATTCATAGGCCTAATACAGAAAATATATATGTACTATATTAGGCTTAGGATTGCTTGGATAGGTTAGTTTAGGTTCTGTAGTTACCGTTCCAAATTTATATGTAATTTGGGCTAATGCAATAATACATAACATGAACTTTTGGGGGTCCAACAGTACATTTATGTACGTTAGAGCAAAGTTGCCATAAGTGCTATCATTGCAGGAGGATAGGCTGGGCTGATCACCCTGAGAAGACTGACTCTTTCCTCTTAATGTTTACTGATGGTGCAACAACCAAGAGGAGTATTACGACGCAAGAGAGCACGAGTCGTCTACACAACCTGGACAAGTTCCTCTTTAATTGGACGCAAAAAAAGACCTGGAGGTTAATATCACATTGAAACTGTCTCCAGGGGAGACATGATTACCAGATTCAAATTATTTAAAATATACAGGCGATGAATCACAATAACGTGGCTAAAGTATGATGACCAGACCACACACTAGGAGGTGAAGGGACGACGACGTTTCGGTCCGTCCTGGACCATTCTCAAGTCGATTGTCCAATCGACCATTCTCAAGTCGATTGTCCCAATCGACCATTCTCAAGTCGATTGTCCCAATCGACCATTCTCAAGTCGATTGGGACAATCGACTTGAGAATGGTCCAGGACGGACCGAAACGTCGAATTCTTCAAGAATTAGAGAGAAAGACCTAGGGGTTGATATCACACCAGACCTGTTCCCCGAAGCTAATATCAAGAGGATAACATCTGCGGCATATGCTAGGTTGGCAAACATAAGAACGGTCATTAGAAACTTGTGTAAGGAATCATTCAGAACCTTGTATACCACTTATGTCAGACCAATCCTGGAGTATGCAGCTCTAGCATGAATTCCATATCTCGTCAAGCATAAGACTAAAGAGAAGGTTCATAGGTTTGCCATCAGACTAGTACCCGAGCTGAGGGGTATGAGCTACGAGGAGAGACTACGGGAACTAAACCTCATGTCGCTGGAAGACAGAAGAGTTAGGGGGGGGGACATAATCACCACATACAAGATTCTCATAGGAATTGATAGGGTAGTAAAGACAGTTTATATAATACAAGGGGCACACGCACTACGGGACACAGGTAGAAATTGAGTACTCAAATAAGCCAAAGAGTCATTAGAAAGAACTTTTTTTAGTGTCAGAGTAGTTAACAAATGGAATGCATTAGGAAGTGATGTGGTGGAGACTGACTCCATACACAATTTCAAGAGTAGGTATGATAGAGCCCAATTGGCCCAGGAACCTGTACACCAGTTAATTGATTGTTGAGAGGCGGGACCAAAGAGCCAGAGCTCAACCCCCGCAAGCACAACTAGGCAAGTACACAAGAATAAACAAGAGCGCTGCTCACTTGCATACAAAATATCTCCCTCGAGGAACAGACTTAAACAAACTCTGGGGCGGAAGACAAACTTGAAGATATTAGTGTTGAGCGCTGAAGATATTGGCGGAGGAGAGGCTGGTTAGCTGGTGTTCCCAGAGCCAGGATGGATCGGGGGGGTTGTGCTGCGTTCCCCTCCACGCTACACAAATTATAATCTTTTATCTAGCTTTATATATTACAGTTTTTATACGTTCAATACGAAGACGTGCTGTTAGTAGCCAGGACTAAAATCTGGGCATAACTACAAAACCGTATACTATATGTATGTATATATTTCGTTCACTTGGACAATCGGAGCCTTGAACCGCCGACCTCATAACAGTAGCCAGCAGCTCTTCTTACTGAGCCGCCAACACCCTTTAGTTAGGAAGAATTCCAGAGGCACCTATCTACGTAGTTCACAACTGGAACTTTAGGCTAGTTTTCATGGGGTCGGCGGTTCGAGGCTCCGATTGTTCACGTGAATGAAATGTTATTTTCCACGATATGGTGGTTAGGTAATTATATATATATATTAATTATATCATATATATATATATATATATATATATATATATATATATATATATATATATATATATATATATAATCGATGGTCCCTTCGGGAATCTTAATTTCAAAATAAATTGGATCACCATTAACAAACAATGTTAAAATTCTTAATTTTTCGAATACTTCTCGTATTCATCGTCAGATCTAAAATAATACAACAGTTACATTAAAATAAACAGCAAATGAAATGATTCATACTAGACAAAATATATCGCTTAAAAGATAAGACACAATACGACGCTAGCTACGACACAAGACACTACGACGCTAGCTACGACACAAGACACTACGACGCTAGCTACGACACAAGACACTTGCTGCAACTTACACGGTGATGAATAAAACTGAAGAATCGCATCGCAGTGACACGATGCTCAAAGCTAATTCAAAATGATAATAATAACTACTAACATACAGAAAACTTATATAAATAACAAACAATTTAAAACACGTATAGAATACCAATTAAAGCATTGTAAGAAATATAAATATTGCATAAAACTGAACCGAAAATGTTTTATTCTATATACTAACTAAAACAAATGTAGCAATAACTAAAATTCAACACTTACAATGCGCATCAAAGCCACAATTCAGGGGAGACCAAAGCAAATATTAAAGACGTCAGCATTGACTATAAATCAAAGCAAAAGCCCCACTGTGAGTTATACAGTGTACAACTGAACAGCTGAAACGTTAATATTTAGCAGGGGCCGCAGCTCCCTCATACACAGTATAAGGATCCCATTATTCTCAAATCCGACTGGCCATTCGTGCAAGTATCTAAAAAGTCTTAAAAATGGATTCCTGGGTCACCTCATTACAATAATTTCTAATCTCTGAGAAAGCTGGTTTGGATAATGGTAAGCCAGTCCTAAATGATACTCCCCGGTGCTCCAGTACCCTAATCTTAAAGTTCTGAATGGGAACTCCTTATTACTGTGTTACTTCTTTTTTATTTGCTGCAGTCTTCCCCTGATTTGTGTCTTTCATACTCATTTCAAGTGTTGATATTTGGAATTTTATCGTGTATAACCATTTATATCTGGTGATATAACCATTTTAATCTGGCAAGGAAGTCCAGGTCATGAATGGTGGGAATATTTCTTCAGGGCAACCTTGCTCAGCCAAGTTGGTAATACCAAGGTATAACTTGATTTAAGGTGGAGCATTGTGTGGTCCGCCTGATTCTCTCTCTCTCTCTCTCTCTCTCTCTCTCTCTCTCTCTCTCTCTCTCTCTCTCTCTCTCTCTCTCTCTCTCTCTCTGACACATGTAGCTTGAAGTGACCTACTGTGATTTGTGGTGACCTACTATGATCTACTGTGACCTGCAGTGATCTACGGTGACCAGCAGTAGGAGGAGGACACACCACCACAAGACTCACCTGGAGGAGGGCCTGGAGTTCTCCTGGAGGCTCCAGACGTCCTGCTGGGAGCCCCTGGAGGTGGAGTCCAGCATGGCCAGGGTGACGGGCGCCTCACGACTCCTCAGCTCCCCGCCCACACGCACGTGCAGGAATGTCACCAGTGCTAGCGGCAGGGCGTACCTGCAGGAGCACGGGCGTTATGGGCGTACCTGCAGGAGCACGGGCGTTATGGGTGTACCTGCAGGTGGATCCTGGGAGGGCGTCCCTGGGGGCGGAGAGGCGAGAGAGAGAAGGGGGGCACCTTGGAGAGGGAGATGGTAGGGGCCAGGACACGTCAGGGAGCGCTCACTTGCTCTTCTGACACTTTCGACGCTCTGCAGCTGACGGACACGACAGGGGAGAGGCGGGGGAGGCAGGAGGGAGGCAGAGTGCCTTCCTTCTGAAACCCGTCCTCAGATCAAGTCCATTCCATCCAGCGGTCGACCCCACAGACGCATTCATCAATTTTAACATGCTCTTCATTCAAAATAGGTATTTTCTCCAATATAAATTATTATCATTGTATATTAGCATACTGTACATATTTAGGCATAGGTTAGAGTTAGGTGTTTAGGTTCTGTTGGCGATTATTTGTATTTGTAGTACGTGGGTGAAGCATTTATAGCGTTGTGGTTCGAAACAAAATTCGTCAGTGAAGCACTTGTTCCGGAAGTGTTCGAACGTCATCAGTTGTGAGTCGTGTGTAAACCGTTTTTCCTTCATAAACAGGGGATTTGGCGGCTAAATTTGCTGTTGTTTCTCGAGCAGTGCTTCGCTGGTGATCTCTCTCCCTGTAGCAACGCTGTAAATGCTTCACCCACGTACTACAAGTTTACAATAATCGCCAACAGAACTTAAACACCTAACCCAACCAATGCCTAACTATACATAGAAATTTAGTATATAACAATATTGACTTAAATATGAGAAGAAACCAATTTTTTTAATACACAGTGTGTTAAAGTTGATGAATGCGTCTGAGGGAAGGGGGGGGGGGGGCGGCCGCTGCTTTAACGAACCTGGCCTGAGGACCAGTTGGTTCGAAACTGTGACTCGAGTGCGTTGTTCTTTCCCTTCCAGCATGTTCCATGGTCACCTCAGCGTTGCCCACAGGTGTGTATGGTCTCTCTTATTACCCGACAGCTGTTCATAAGTCCAGGTGTATGAGATCGATATCGTTATACAGTATCGAGAGATTATATTAAGTTTTTGAGACCCCAAACTGTATGAGGTTGATTATGAGCGGATCTCTATGGTTAAAATGGTCAGTTTGCCCAACTGTTATGTTAAATTCAGGCGGTTAAACAAATGCAAATATTTTAAGGCAGAGAGAAATCTGAATACATTTAAATTCAACAAATATAATTAACGTAACACAGGAACTGCTCGTGTCTAATGATACTGTCAAGCCCAAAAAATTGAATTATTTGGTCTGGCTTAGAAAACGATTTGGGGGAAAAATCTCTGTAATTTAACTTAATTGCCAGACTAGAAGGGGTCAGTGTTGCTTGCTGAGGTCGGCCACGCTGGAAATACAATTCTAAAATATATACGCAAAACCAAGTGAAACTAATTTGCAACAGCACATATTTGTATGTAACTCCGTATTATGTATGTAAATACTCATACACACACACACACACACACACAGGCGGGATCCAAGAGTCAATGCTCGATCCTGCAAGCACATATAGGTGAGTACACACACACACACACACACACACACACACACACACACACACACACACACACACACGGGGGGAGGGGGGAAGGGGGGGGGCTAGGGGGGTGATCGCTGACAGGTGTACAATACAGCACCACCTCCCTCCCCCCCTCCCCCTACTGTACTCCTACACCAAGAATACACCAAAAATCATAATACAAGAATACACGGAAACTGAAATACAAAACATTACAAATAGATCTGTTCTCCCAAAGCCCAGCTCGCGATTAGCGGCTTTATACAAAAATACAATTTGAAATATTGTATAAATGTAACATACACTACACAATATATATATATATATTGTGCAAATAAATTATTATCATTATTATTAATAAAATTATTATCATCATTATCATTGTACAATTATCATTCTTATTTTCTCACAGAACATTTAAAGAACCCCAATCATACTAGCATACTTAACGGAAAAATTTAACCGAGATATACTAAATAATAATATACTTAAGCCACAAGTCTCAGATATACACACTAGCATACCCAGAGAGCAATAAAGTTGCTGATATACCAGCATACTACCAGGGTAATACAGAGGGAACGTGCGAGGTAATATACTTAAGGGAAGAATATATAGGCAGGGATATACTGGTAGTAACAGCTGGCTAAATAATAGGCATTTGTCACTATACTCACCTTACCAAACCGTGAACCAGGATATATCAGCATGTTCATAGGATAAGGCTTAGATTAAGGATATAACAGGATATGTATTATGACCTCACAGGACGAGGGCTAGTGTAAGGATACGCCAGGATATACTAGCATACACACAGGGCAAGATATAGACTCAAGGATATAACACAACAAATCAGCATACTCGCAGAACAAAGTTCAGGGCAGGAATATACCGATGCCCATGACAGGGCAAGACTATACTAGTACAACAGATATACTCACCTAAAAACAAAGGGGATCAAGATATATTAACATATTCATAAAAAACATGCCAAAAAAACGGGAATTACGAGTATACTTTCAAGAAAACAAAAAAAATCCGGATATATTCATACACTCTAGGGATAAACAGTCAGGATAACAGAAGGGTATACTCATAGGACAACAGAAGAAGGTATACTCACAGGAGAACAACAGAGGGAACTCACAGGACAAAAAACAGGATATACTCACAAGACAAAAAGAGGATATACTCACAGGACTCAAAGAATAACAACAGGAGTTATACCCACAGGACAAAAAACAGAAGATATACTCACAGAACAACAAAGAGGCCGCGGATATACTCGGCTATATCGTCCCCCAGGTTGACAGTACAGATTCCCGCGCCCTCAAACTGATCCCCAAACACCTCCTGTGGAAGACGGAGATATATGAATATAACGAAGCATTTCCCAGCTCCCGGAGGAGAGCATACCTCAGCATGAGACAGATTACTAGCACCCAATAGAGAATATACCAGAGTATGGCGCATATTTACATGTATATCTGAAAAACATTTCGGGGTATGTCCGGGTCGCCAGGCTGGGATGCTAATTTGGGAATAATTTCAGTTTAATATTACTGTTATGATCAAAGTCAAGAATACGTAGACACAAAAATATATATAGTTACAAAAGTTAGCACTAAGAGCGTCATGTATAATCCATAAAACACCTCAGAGCCGAGAATACATTATAGATCTGAAGGAATTGTTGACGATCTTACTATCTTTTTATAATTGTTCTTACCTGTTCTTCAGACACAGTTCAGACACTCTGTTCTTCAGAGTTCCAATAAGCTCAACCTGTAGGAAATTAGCTGGAGCAAGATCAGCCTTTGTAGCTTCTATTGCGAGAGTGATGGAAGGATGTTTGGAGTGAGAAGAATACTGAGTGACTATATGTATATATGTAAATCATTATGAGGTGGATGTTCTGGTTTAAGAAAAATATTGAGGCTGTGTAATGGGCTCGGACACGTGCCTCTGGATTCCTACCCCCCAAAACACTACCCAGGATGTCCAGGAAGGGAAGAAGTTCGATCCCATTGTATGACCTCAATATTTTTTTTCCGTAGATCCATCAGGTTGTTGTGGATTCACTTTGTAGTTGTGGCTAAATTTGTGTAGTTTAGTAAGATTAGTTATTGAAGCGAAGATGTTGAAGGTCGGCTACGAAGGTTCGGAGCTGAACCTCACATCCCTGGAAAACAGAAGAGTATGGGGGAGACATGATAACCACCTACAAAATTCTCAGGGGAATTGACAGGGTGGACAAAGACAAACTCTTCAGCACGGGTGGGACACGAACAAGGGGACACAGGTGGAAACTTAGTACCCAGATGAGCCACAGAGACGTTAGAAAGAATTTTTTCAGTGTCAGAGTAGTTAATAAATGGAATGCATTAGGCAGTGATGTGGTGGAGGCTGACTCCATACACAGTTTCAAATGTAGATATGATAGAGCCCAGTAGGCTCAGGAACCTGTACACCAGTTGATTGACAGTTGAGAGACGGGACCAGAGCCAAAGCTCAACCCCCGCAATCCCAATTAGGTGAGTACACACACACACACACACACACACACACACACACACACACACACACACACACACACCGTTTACTAGTCATTCGCTACCCACAACAGGTTGCTTAACTCTACTGGAAGGAATCAGGAACACTGAGCTGCTTGAGAAAAGGTCAGTGATTGGCAAGAAGCCTTGTGCCACTTTATGCTCAACTCAGCCAGAAGGAGTTCTTGCATGGCATCTTCGACAATCAATGGCTCTTGATTCCGAAATCAACCTAGATAAGGGAGTCAGGTGGCGGTGGGTTCGACAACAAACATTATACAATGAAGAGGATCCCGAACTGGGATCGAAATACAGTCTGCGTTTCCTCATGTGATCAAAATTGTGGGTCATTATTGTCATCATACAATGAGTTATAAGTCAGAGGAAAAGGATGACGACTTGGATAGATTACGTCAGGTCCAGAGGCAGCAAAATCATTATAAATTTAATTGCACCATCTACATCATCAGAAGAAAGAGGCGTAATTAACATGATGTTAATTACGTGTCAAGGAAAGACTTAAGAGTCTCACAGATGGTCACACCTCTTATATCTTACCCCAGACTGTAGCTACTGTAGGATGCCTTCATTATTTTCTATCCATTAATTAGGACGACGTATTATGTAGGCACGAGCAGCCACGTCGGTGCGGGTAGCGGAGGAATTAGTGTGACAGGTGATGAGTCGTGTCCAAACTAGTCTAAACAGGATGTTGGTCTTAAATGAACAACTTACACGATTTGCATAGTCATATGTGATGAGTGGTGATGGAATAATTACCCCAACACAGTCATATATAATAAATTGTTACAAGTCAGTGTGGAGTGCTGTTCTAAGTGACATCCGGAACCCAGAAGCGGTATATATATATATATACATATATATATATACATATATATATATATATATATATATATATATATATATATATATATATATATATATATATATATATATATATATATATATATATATATATATCACAATAACGTGATATATCAATGAAACTCATTTCGAGGAAGTTGAGTGATTTGAACTCGCGTTCTGGAGATTCCCAAACGCCTGCCTTAACCGACTCAGCCACGATGGTACAAGAGTCGAGCAACCCAGAACTCCACGGAGCTCTCTGGGAAGTTCAGGAGGCCGCAAACCGGGACCCAACCAGGATTTTACACCCAACCCTACCACACTTGTGCTTCCAGCTACCACAGTCGCTCTCCATCTGTGAGCTGTTGTTGCTGCCCTCTGCTATTCATCTATACATATCTTGTTTTTAACAGGAAATGTATATGTTTATCTCTCAGAACGTTTGGTAATGTTTATTGTTTGTGATGTGTATCTATGTATGTATTAACACGATGTACTGAACGGGGTGAGAATAGCTTGAGCTACCTCATCCCTTTGTGTGTATTTTACCTCAATAAACTTATTTCAATTTCAATTTCAATTTCAATTTGTTGTTAACATCATTCTTCTGTTTGGGCCTTCTATTATTTGGTGGGGGATTGTAGATTATCGAGATCACAATCCTCTTCCCATCTACTGTCAGAGTCCCACGTATGGAGCTTGTGTTTCCATTACTTCCCCGATTTTCTAGTTCCTTAAATTTCCATTTCCACTTTATGAGGAATGCCACTTTCCCCTCTCTGTCTCCGTGTCCTGTTTTTCATTATTACTTGGCATTCCTCTGGGAAGATTGCACTCGAGATCATATCATTTATTTTAGTTTCCACTATTGCCATTAAGTCTGGATCTGTTTCACTAACCATTTCTTTTATTTCCTCTGCTTTATTGGATACCTCATCACCATTGGTGTACTAAACCTTGAGACTCGTCTTGGAAACTCTGTTATCAGAGTTCATATGGGTCATTTGCCCACCTGTCTCCCTCTGTGTGTGCTGCAGGTGACAGATGGATGCTGTCGTATGGATGCACGAGGGGGATGAGAGGCTGAGGAGAGGGAATAGTGTGTGTGTGTGTGTGTGTGTGTGTGTGTGTGTGTGTGTGTGTGTGTGTGTGTGTGTGTGTGTGTGTGTGTGTGTGTGTGTGTGTGTGTGTAAACATATAATCACTAAGAAGAGGATGCTGGTGGTGTCTGATACAATATTTATTGTATCAGACACCACCTACAGAATACAACCAAAGAGACACTAACCAGACAATAAAGTTGAGGCCACACAAAATAGCCAAGACAGTTAACCCACATCACACCATCAACACAAAACAGTTCTGTTGAACCACCAAAATATACAACTGAACAAATACAAGCCAAACAACGCAGTTCGACACACATCGCCCAATAGAGAGAAAGTTTATAGAAGAATCAAGGTTATTTATTCTTTCCGCTTCCGTGTAAGGCGGGCGGGTGAACGGACGGTCGCAAGAGTGGGCGGACGGAAGGGTGAGCGGGCAGACGGAAGAAACGACGGACGGGAGGACGGAGTGGGACGGGTGGCGGAGGGGCAACAGTCGCTGGTAAGTGTCGTAGTGTTCGTTTCCATCTCAACAAACGCGAGTGTTCGAGTCTCCGACATTTCCTGGCACTGGGAGGAAGGTTTTCCCGCCCTCTGGCCGGCCGCCGCTGCACCTGAGGTCCGTCCAGCAGTCCGTCTCTAAATCGAATCTCCAAGTTGTCATGTTCCAGGTCACCTCTGGCGCCTGGCAACACTCTCACCATAGCCCTAACTCGTCTCAATCATGGCACCTGCTGATATACGATGTTGCCATAATTGACTTGAAAAATGGCTGCTGATCTTTAACTGCCAAAACTCACCTGAAACCTGGAGATTTATGATTCATTTACAGTGTTGCCATAACGCACGTCAGCTCCGGCGCAGAGCAATTTATTTTAGAGTATTGCCAATTATATATTATTCCCCTAGAGGGCTAGAGGACGGGGCGCGGGTGTTGTTATATAAAAAAAAAAATATCGAGTAAAAGAGGAGGTGAGGCGTCCAGTGCCACTGTGACTGTGTACCGTCCAGTACCCTCACACTGTGACTGTGTACCGTCCAGTACCCTCATATTGTGACTGTGTACCGTCCAGTACCCTCACACTGTGACTGTGTACCGTCCAGTACCCTCACACTGTGACTGTGTACCGTCCAGTACCCTCACACTGTGACTGTGTACCGTCCAGTACCCTCATACTGTGACTGTGTACCGTCCAGTACCCTCACACTGTGACTGTGTACCGTCCAGTACCCTCACACTGTGACTGTGTACCGTCCAGTACCCTCACACTGTGACTGTGTACCGTCCAGTACCCTCACACTGTGACTGTGTACCGTCCAGTACCCTCACACTGTGACTGTGTACCGTCCAGTACCCTCATATTGTGACTGTGTACCATCACAGTACCCTCACACTGTGACTGTGTACCGTCCAGTACCCTCACACTGTGACTGTGTACCGTCCAGTACCCTCATATTGTGACTGTGTACCATCCAGTACCCTCACACTGTGACTGTGTACCGTCCAGTACCCTCACACTGTGACTGTGTACCGTCCAGTACCCTCACACTGTGACTGTGTACCATCCAGTACCCTCACACTGTGACTGTGTACCGTCCAGTACCCTCACACTGTGACTGTGTACCGTCCAGTACTCTCACACTGTGACTGTGTACCGTCCAGTACCCTCACACTGTGACTGTGTACCGTCCAGTACCCTCACACTGTGACTGTGTACCATCACAGTACCCTCACACTGTGACTGTGTACCGTCCAGTACCCTCACACTGTGACTGTGTACCGTCCAGTACCCTCACACTGTGACTGTGTACCGTCCAGTACCCTCAC